GACTATACTATTCCACATGAATCTGGCTATAATATACAAAAAGAATTTTTCTAATCAGACTGGTAGTTCAAGAGATTAGCACGTTTAAACAAACAAAAAAACGAACAAACTCTTCCACTTTATTATATTACGAGGGTGGGTCAATAAGTCCGTGACTTTTGGAATAAAAACAGATTTTTTGATAAATAAATCATTTTATTTTTCAACATAGTCTCCCTTGAGCTCTATACACTTTGTCCAATGCTTCTCCAATTTTTTTATCCCTTCCAAAAAATATGATTTATCGAGGTCCTCAAAATAGGCCTTTGTTTGTTTTCCACCAAGCCATTTCTTCAGGTTTGGGAACAAGAAGTAGTCACTTGGAGCCAAATCTGGAGAATAGGGCGGATGAGGGAGCAATTCATAGCCCAATTCATGGATTTTTGCCATGGCAACTGGACATGTGTGCACCCTTGCATTGTCTTAGTGGAAAAGAACTTTTTTCTTGGCCAATTGAGGTCGGTTTTTTTTCGAATTGTCATTGAATCGGTCCAATAAGTTGGCATAATATTCCCCATTGATTGTTCTTCCCTTTTGAAGGTAGTCAATGTGGATTATCCCGCGTGCATCCCAAAAAACAGTCGCCATAACTTTATTGGCTGACAACCCACCTTGGCCTTCTTTGGCGCCGATTCACCCTTAGAAACCCACTGTTTTGACTGTTGTTTGGTCTCTGGTGTGTTGTGATGGATCCATATTTCGTCCACGGTTAGAAAACGGCGCAAAAACTCCTCCATATTGCGATTAAACAACGCCAAACCTTCCTGTGAAGTTGTTACACGATTGCGTTTGTGGTCGACTGTGAGCAAACACGGCACCCATCTTGCGGAAAGCTTTCTCATGCCCAAGTGATCATTCAAAATTGAAACCACTGAGCCATGCGAGATCCCTACGGCTTCCACAATCTCTTGCACTTTCAATTTTCGATCGGTCAACACCATATCGTGAATTTTTTTGATTGTTTTGGGTGAAGAGACCTCAACTGGGCATCCAGGACGTTCGGCATCTTCAGTGTTTGTACGGCCACAACGAAATTCAGTAAACCACTTTTTTACCATTGAAATCGATGGTGCAGAGTCCCCATAGTATTTATCAAGCTTAGTCTTGGTCTCAGTAATGGTTTTTTTTTCGCAAAAAATAATGCTTAATAAGCACACGAAATTCAATTTTTTCCATTTTTTCCTCAAATTACTGGGTAGTCTGATAAAGATAGCTGTCAAACACAAACTATCTGACGCAGCAAGTTCAAATTTTGACAGGAGTCAACTGAGAGATGCCTGTTGACAGGAGTAGTGTTGCTTTTTCAGTAAAGAGATCAGAAATTCAAAAAGTCACGGACTTATTGACCCGCCCTCGTAGTATAGATAATTATCTTGATAGGTATCCACTTCAACGTTCATTTCATGCCAGTTACAATTACAGTTTCAACGGTCATTTAATGCCGGTTACAATTACAGTTGAAGATGAAATTGTCCAGAAATATACCTCAGTCGATTAAATATTGCAACTAGGTACCACTAATAGGATTCAGATAGGATGGGCAGCAAATAGGAAGGTCTGTCAGGTTTTCTCGTCCATAAGTAGGTAATTTTTTTTGGTTTTTGGCCATTTTGACCCTCTAGGAGTGTAATGAGAAATTTTTGCCCCTGTAGCCGGTGGAAGGAAATGGGGAGATCTCCCGCCGGGCAAGGTGTTTTGCCCGGGGAGCGGCCAACGCTCCAAGTGGTAGTTCGGAGCTATTCTATATATACTGCTTTAACTTCGGAACTTTCTTAGCGCGATTTAGGCTTCGATATGTTTCGCTTGTGGCGCGACGACAGCGCCGCCACATCATCCCCCTGCTCAGACCGGAAGTCAATAGTGCAGTCCGATTGTCGGTGTGTCCTTAATGCTGGTGGGGAATGCGTGCTGTGTGCGTAAGGTCAAGTGACGCCGGTGCGAACGATATGCCGGTGTGTAATACATGCCGTACTACGCACTTGCAAGTGAAGCCGGTGAGAACGATGAGCCGGAGCAAATGCCAGGGATTGCCTTGTAGTCTGCGGTGAGTCGAGAAGAAGACAAGTAATCTGCGAGAGTGCCATGAAGCAGAGGCGAGCAGTAAGGCTCAGAGGCGTGCCGAACACTGTAGCACAGAGAGTAGCTTGAAGGAACAGGAAGCATTATTATTCCAGTGCTGCGATGAACCTTTGTAAAGCTAGATGGCTTTGCAGAATGTGAAAACTGCAGACAATATCTGCTCGGGAGCGAATGAATGGGTTACTTTAGGATGATGACGAAGGTTTTGAAGTTGAAGTTTCCGAAGGTTGTTGGTTGCGTGTTCATATCACGTCGGTTGGTCACCAATGTGGCGGGTGGAAGGAAATGGGGAGATCTCCCGCCGGGCAAAGTGTTTTGCCCGGGGAGCGGCCAACGCTCTAAGTGGTAGTTCAGAGCTATTCTATATATACTGCTTTAACGTCGGAACTTTGTTAGCGCAATTTAGGCTTCGATATGTTTAGCTTGTGGCGCGACGACAGCGCCGCCATACCCCTATTCAACCATGACCCGCATGACATCCTCTACGTGATAGGCTATTCAAACTGACTAGGCCTAAAGTTCGAATCCCCCAACTCATTTCTAGTCTTTAATTACTTTTTTTACTAGTTTTAATTACTTCCAACCAGTGACAATACTGACGTGTGGTGCCATAACATGAACACTGACGATACGGCTATTTTTCAAGCTTAAAATCATTCAGCAATGTAATGGAAAGCTAGCTAGGCTGGGAGTTTCTCTGATGGATAACATTCTTTCTTATTTGTCTTTAAAAACGTTACCCACATTACGATTTTCTCCTGTATCGTGGAGGCAGTTTACAAACAAACAGTTGACAAATACTTGTTCCATGTGGGATTCGAACCCGCGGCCTTCAGCGCAGTAACTCATGCTACTAGCAATGATGCTAAGCCACGGCGCCGTCAAGTAAGTAAATCGGAGTAATTAAGAAATCCGCTGGATAACCTAGATAATCATAGCCTTTCGGGGCTGTAAACTGAAAGAGCAATCGGCTGGTCACATCTTCGCAGAAGTGACAACCGGTGAAGTGTCAAGAAGTGGATACCAGACCAAATAAAATGTGGGATGCTCTCCGACTCATAGAAACTAGATATGTGAAGCCGAAGATCGGGAAAAATAGTGCATCTTAGGAGAGACCTAAGTCAAAAAACTTATGCGGGATCGTTTAGGCAGATAAAATAAAGTAAGCATTCATAATTTTCCATACAAAAGGCTTTAACCATTTAAAGGAAGGCATTTTGATTATTTTCATGCTCATATTTATAAAATGAATTAATTGGTTATCCGAATTTGCATTGTAAATTGCTTTGAAATTTTCATACGTACCTGCATTTTTTATATACATAAACATAAACACTCACGCCTGTCACCCAGAGGGGTAGGCAGAGATTATGGACTTCCATTTGGCACGATCCTGACACACCTCTCTCGCTTCCTCCACATCCATATACCTACGCATACACGCTCGTCGGTTAAAGGTACTCTTGATTTGGCCCATTTTTAATATATCGCCAATTTGGTCGATAAACTTTCGCCTAGGGCGACCCTTCCCGACTATGCCGTTCACCTCTGCAACATAAATTTGCTTTGTCACTCTTTCCTCATTCATTCTTTCTACATGGCCAAACCACCGAAGCATTCCTTTCTTAATCCTGGTCACAACATCATCTTGCAAACCACACTCTTCTCTTATTAAACAATTTCTCACTCTGTCATTCAGATTCATCCCTAACATACTCCTTAATGACCGCATTTCTACAGCATTTATTCTACTCTCGTGCTTCTTCTGCCACACCCAACTTTCACTACAATACATTAAAGTAGGTACTAACACAGCATTGTGAATTGCCATACGTGCCTTTTTGGACACATTCTGACTTTCCACAATAGAGTTTAGAGCCCCATTCACTCTATTTCCTGCATTTTTTATCTATACATTAATATGTGAAGGGAAATCTTTGTACATCTTTTTAAGCATATTTCATGCACGGAGAAGTGTGAGATTTGACATTGTTAAAGATTATATGGAGAAGTAGTGCAAAAAGTTAATTTTTTTTTTATAATCTGTGTTAAAAAACACATTTTTTTTATAGAATTAGGGTGACAAACGAGCATACGGTCCACCTGATGGTAAGTGGTTGCTGTGGCCCATAGACATGTGTATCTATCTTCGTTTGCGAATTAAAATGCAGATGCGTTGTCAGCCGTGAGAACTAAGATAGAATGCCTATTTTCCAGTAAAAAGGGTCTACACTCACCATACGAAACACAGCAGCATTAAGCTGCTATTTTACGCTGGTATTCTGTGAGAGCGTGGTCCTTCCCCGGTCGAGCCGACCCATTCGTACTGCAACTATACCAGTAATATAGCTCTACCAAATTAATATGTAATACATTGAATAAAATCAAATAAAACATTCTTTGTTTACATTTAAACTGCAAATGTGAATTGTCAAACAGTCAAACATAATAAGTCAAAGAATCGCAGAGAGTAGAGACAGTTGCCAACTAAATAATTATGGTGAGATGTTCCATTTTCAATAATCATTTATTAAATACCTGTTTTAAATATGAACGGGCACTTGAAAGCATAGAACATAGATGATGCATTGGTATTTATACTGTTTAAAGTGAAATGCAACTTACATAAAATACAAACTTAAAAATGTAATGAATTACTATATATTAAATATATTAGATATAATTAAAAGATAAAATTACTATTATGTTTAGCAATTGCAGAGGTTTTCTAAATATTTTGATTAATATTTTGTCAAATAATGCATGCTGTATATTAATGAACTATATCAACCCCTCAAATATGACTAGCTATTTGAAACAAATTATAGCTGGTTTTTTTTAACTTATTTTTACAGTGTATGATGATTTACCGCTATACTTACCTACTGCAGTTAGACATAATTTTCCTTCAATTGTTATACCAATGAAACCTAGAGCGTCTAAAGCAACTGGTAATACTGTTTGTTCTCCAGATTCAATTGCATTGAATAAAGAATTTAAGAAAATGGGATATTTCTCAAATATCTCTTTTGGATAGTAATGTGCAATGCTTGCAAAGAATTTTATATAACCTGAAACAATTTTCAAAAGTAAATTAAAAAAGTATGATTGATCCAATATCTTGTTTTCAAATAAAATAATATAAAAACTATTTTAAACACAAGTTTTTATTAGTGTTGCTAGAATCATTAGCCGGAAACATCATCAAATAACCTTCATTGGTACTATATTACATTAGTATGTCAAATTTTTATCAAACAATCAAATGTTAGCAAGGTCTTCTAAAATTGATTACAAATTCAGAAGTGGAGGAACATATGAAAAAAGCATATTCAATAAAATCTTGTAAAAATACCTGGTAGTAAAAGACCCCCTAGTGGATTATTCCGTAAATCACCAATTAATGCAGTAATTCTTTCTAAAGCGCCATCTTTTACCAAATAATTAATACCGTAGGGTTTTACAGACAATCTAGATAATAACTCCAGAATATTTAATTGATACAAAACATCATTTGACTTTAGTTCTTCTACCATGTGCTCTATATACCCATTGTCAACAGATAACTTAAATAATTCATATGATTTTAATGAAATGTTTATAACAACCTGAAACAAAAATGATGTAGTTAGAAGGTAAAACAAAAACACTGACACTAACCATTTCATTATCTTTTCACATTGTTAATGAATGAGAGCATCAACTTTGATAAAGATGTTAGATATTTAATAGGGTATTACACCCATTTTCAAAAAGTGTTTGAGATGAATCCTGGAGTGATAATGAATCACTATAATTTTTATATAATTTTTTTAAACCGAATAGTGCCATAGAAATTACTTTTAATGTATCGTTTTAAATTTTCATGTGAAAACAAAAAAAGTAAACAAAAAATCAATATTTCTCGTTTACTTTTTACAAAATCTATCATACGGACTTCCATTTGGCGCGATCCTGACACACTTCTCTCACCTCCTTTACATCCATATATTTACGCATACATGCTCGTCGGTTAAGGGTACTCCTAATCTGACCCATTTTCAATGTATCGCCGATTTGGTTGATAAATCGAAGTCCAATACTATTATAATAATTCGTGACTGTAATTATTAAAAGTTTACTAAAATGATGGAGTTTTTGATATATATAATATTATACTAAAGTATAACAATAGTATGTATCAAACGTGTATACATAAAGGTAACTTCTATTTAGTCATATTAACATCATTAATATTGGTTAATTAACATATAAAAATCAATTGCTGTCCGTTAGTCTCACTAAAACTCAAAAAAGGCTTGACCGATTTTAATGAATTTTTTATGTGTGTTTAAATGGGTCCCTAGATAATTAAGATTTACATTTAGACCCGGTAGGTGGCGCTGTTGTCGAGATCTTTTATGTGATAGATGCATGATGCATGTGACACTTGCTGCATGTTGTATAGTTGTAGCACAAATAGGTCGGCTCGAGGAACCCTGCTCTCACAGAATACTGAGAATACAGGACTGTGTGCTCGCATGTCACCCTTATCTTATAATATACAAAAACAAAAAAAGAACATCCAGAAATCACCTGAGCGAAGCTGGGGTGGATCACTAGTTAATATATATCTTTTCTCAGTGTGATCAACAAAAATTCAAATACTGGGTAGTTATTTTTAATTGTATTGACAATTTGCATTGCATGTGCATGGTTTATTGTCTTAATTTTTTTACATAATATATACCCTTATTCTTTAAAAATCTCCAACTTGTTTAAAGGATTTTAAAAAAGGAGGTAACAAGAGCCCCAAGTGAGGACTGTTATAAGAGGTTAGTATGTGACTCTTTTTGAAACAAAGTGATGTGAGACCATATGAACCATAATGAATTATTTAGGTAATGTTATATTATTTACAATTTCAATATAGTTATGTTAATTTATTATTATATATAATATATTATGTTGTATAGATATAATATTTAAAATACTATATCTAAAGCAGTAAGTCTGTATGTTGTAATTTATGTAGCAGTCTAAAATTACAGAGTCCTTATTCTTAACCAGCATCTTTCATGACCAGCTAAGCTGTTTGTTCTAAAGGTTAATTATAAAATTATTTGACAAAGATATACAATTTTGTACACATAATTGACTCACAATAACATGGATACTGGATACTTTTTATACATCCTCCTAAAACTCTTTAAGAGCTTGGTTCTATATGCAATAAATTTTAAATAACTGATTTTACACTGTTATCATAAAGGTAGCTCCCAAAACCAATCCTACTTCTTATTAGTTATAGGTATGCAGGTATGTCACTCCTTAATCTGGGGTTTATTCCCCAATCTGGACCCACTAACCTTTTTAATAAAATTATAAATTTTAGTCTTTTCAGAAATCAGTCACAAGTTTGCGCCATCGTAATTATTTATTCAGCCACTATGCTAGCTTTTCTTTACTTTATTTAAAAAGGTATTAACAATAAGGTTTAAATGAATAAAAATAAATGTATAAAACATACCTCATAAGCATTACATTTACTACTGCTGTTATGTTCTAAAGCAATTTTCATTTCTTCCAATACTTTTGGATAAGCTTCAAATTGTAAATTAGATGTTATAATTATTGCTTTATTTGCTACTCCCACATCTTTATCGCAAACCATTTGAGCAACGGCCACAAATATATCAATATATTCAGGAACTGGCAACAGTGATACATCAGCTATCACTGACTTGTATACCTGCAATTGCAATATTGAAAATAGAAATCTATTACCTAAATAATGGAACATCTAGTAATTATATAGTTACCTCATCCACAGCAAGTCTCCTCACACAATTCTTTTCATGACGTAGTAAATACATAATATGACTTGTAAAATGCTTTACAACATCCCCAACACCAAACTTTTCAAAGCATATCTTCAGTACTTCGCAAGTTAAATCGTCGTTTGATCTATAGAATGGCACATAATTATTAAAATTACCCATCGTCTAGACTAACAAACAAATAATTTAACTACATAGGTATTACTAACTTATCTTGTACATTAAGACATCGGACTATATTCGATATTCCGACATTGGACAGAGTGATTTTTGCTTCAGCAGCTGGTTTATAGTCAAATAAACTTTTTATGGCATTTAAAATGGGCTTAATATCTTTTTCTGTTTCAAGTTTTTTATTAAAAATCCGAAATTGTTCAAGATCTTGACTGGACATTTTTACAACGAAAACAAAACAAAGATGACAATTTCAGTATATACACTCTTATCTATGGATGACAACGCGTAGTTTGTGGATGACAGGATCACAATCACAAACTATATAGATTTTTTTTTTGGAGTTTATGGCCTGGTATCTAGACCTTTAGGCCAAGTCTTGAGTATTTTTATTCGGTTTATTATAATTTCCCAAATGTATAATTATCTTTCATAGTTCACTGCTTCACAATATGTTGATGCGTCACATTGTGCAGCCCTTGGGAGATTTTGACGGCAACTTGAGCCAGCAGACAGCTGACAGTTGGCGATGGTATCTAAAGGCGCCTATGCAGACAAACAGCTTATCTTGAGAATCCATCACCATCAGAGCACTTGTTTCACCGTTTCCACTAATAGTTCACATGCGTAGACAGTTAATACATAAAATCGCACCACTTTTACATATCAAAATCCACTTCAAACTATTATTTAAACTATAATACAGGAGCAGCAAACCGCCGCCGGTCAATTTCCCGCCAAAACTCCACAAACTATATAGAAATACTACGCACTACGGACAGGATCAGGATGACAAACAAAATCTAATAATGGGACTCGAGGTCGAGCCGTGTTTCACTCGAGTCATTCGAATAGCTTTTATTTTACTCGCACTCGAGTAATATTTATGATTACTCAGATTACGAGTGACTCGAGTCAACTCGAATGACTTGAACCACTCCAGTGGCTTGTACTACACGAGTGAGAAATTCAAGTTAGGATAGGTTTAGTCGATTTGTCTTCCATTTGAAATTAAGTATGTTTGAGTGAGTTGTTTCTAGTAATATGTTTATTTAAAAGTGTTTGCTATTAGTACGTGTTCGAGTGATAGATAGCTTTTTTGGGACATTTTATGACAAAAATGTTTAACCAAAACAGTTATTTTTAAGTTGCGCAAGAAAGTTACAAATACTTTGGGAATACTACCTTCTTGATTCCTCCTAATATGGAGAATAAACATCAGATTCAGTACCTATAATGATATTAGGGGTGAGTCAAGTTCATCTCATGCGTGTATGGACATTCCGATACTAGTAAATACGAGTAGGTACTCGATACTTTTGATTCGATACCAAGTATCAATCTTGCGATACTTACTCGGTATCGAAACAAAAGTACTTGGTATCGAAACAGGCGAACCGAACCCGTCCGAATTTACCCGAGCCGAGACCGAGAGAGAAAGTCGCCATTACACTAAAATTGTCACTTGTCCAGTCAGCACTAGCAGTGTCCAACATTTCACAAGTGATTGTTTACGATTACTTTACGAGTAATTTAAGTTATTGTAGTCATCGGTTTATTGTTCCAATGTTATCATGGCACCACCAAAATCATAAATATGGACATCTTTTACCAAAACAAACAAAACAACTACAAAATGTAAACAATGTTTTAAGTCGGTGAAATATTGTGGCAATACGTCTAATTTATTCAAGCTTTCCAAAACTCATGGAATTACTGTGGATAAAGCCAAATTACAGAAAAAAGCAGATAAAGGGACAAACGAAAGGTGGGATTTTCAACTTTTCACTAATTAATTTCGTAGGATAAGTACTTAGGTTTGGTACATAATAGTTCGTTAGTTCATCGATTGGAACTATGCGATGTTATCTAAAGTAGCAGGGCAGAATAGATCGTTGTAGGGCTTGAAACATTTGCTACGTTAATTTCATTAAAAAAATCTAAAAGTATCGATATCAGTAACTATCGATTCATTAGGCATATTTGTATGAGTAGTATCGAAAAATGATTTGAGTAATACTGATATGAGTAGGTATCGATACTTTGATGGTATCGGAACATCCCTAAATGCGTGTCCTTAAACTAGGTACTGAAGGCGTAGATAGAGGATTGACTAGATAAAGCATTCGCGTATGCTTTTGAGATAAAAATAGACGGGAGGTACTTTCACTGGGTTACCAGATATTGTTCCATTTCCCCCGTTATGGGTTTATTTATATTCACAGCACTTACATCCATACAAAAAACTTAATTGTTACCATAAAAAATGTTCTTTTATAATTCAGATGATTAATTAATTTCTCTTGAAAATACATTCTGTGACAAAAACTACGGGCGGAAACGGCGTAAAAACAGAATCATCATTTTGTATTCAACAGCGCATTGACAATTTTACTGGATATTCAATAAACTCTTTGGATTTCGACGGCACTAAGTGAATGCGCTAATAGCACAAAGTGTGATATCGCTAATAAATAACAATATGTTATGTATGTACTTAAATATTAATTGAGAATAAAAATATTAAATAATAAACAAAAATTTCCTTGTCGAGTTTTGTTTTTACAAAAAAAAAATCAATAATGTTTTAACATACCATTCCATCACAAGTTCAGTGCTGAACACAGACCTTCGAAAGGAAAGGGTTTCCACTCAGGTCTTGTAGTACACAACACGATTATGATCCTACTCCCACGATTTCCTGCATGTTTTGCTAAGTTAGTGTGTTGTGTGCGGCAAGTTGTGGCGTACAAGAGAATTTGTCTGTACACGGGATGATATTACCCCGCGTCGTAAGCAATAATACAAGATGGGGATGGGGCAGCAGCACTTTCCCGATGAAAACTTATAATAATAAAAAACTGCGGTGGCCAACCAGCATAACGCATATTTTCACGCAGGCGTGGCAACTATGGCAAGTCATCCTATGAGGATATCTATGGAAGGCCTATTTTAGGTGACTTACTTATGGTTAGGTGGCTTAATCATGTTACCTAATGGTTAAGGTGGTAAAATGTTTTAGTTAATATACGTTGTAAAGCATCAACAAAGGATTTTTTTTTTGTATTATATTGGTATATAAAATAAAAACGAATGTTTTATAATATTCTATTTTAATTCACCATGCAATGTAAGATTATCTGTTACCTCATATCATTCCATGGGTGGTGTATGAGGCGACATAGGGAAACATCAAAGAAGATAAACAGCAGCATTGTCCTGATAACAGCTAAATAATGCCAAATAACTATAATAATGTTTATGTTCAACAGTGGACTTTTGATAGACTGTAAAGATATATATTCTATTTATTATTTATTAATTTTTCATCACTTTAATAAACAACAAATTTAACAAAATTTTTGTCTTCTTTCTAGAGCATTCGTTGTAATTCTTGGTTTGAGTAGCCTTAGAATTTCTCAAAAATATGCATTTGTAAACTTGATTTATAGAAATTCTTGGGTGCTGGTCGTTAGAATCAGATTAGAAGGGAGTGTATATATATATATAAATTTGCCTTGTATATAATATATTTTAATGGTATAAATGATAAGGTACAACTCCTAATTAGAGGTATTACCTATCTAAGTATAGAGATAGGTAATACCTCTCTCTTGTCAAAAACATCTTTATTACAATATTTATGTCAATTAAATGGAAATTATCATAATTATTACATTTATTTCTTAATTTATTTACACATTATTGTTTATAACACCTTTATAAAAGGGATTAAGGGTGGACTAAATGTCCCATTGGTAGGCATTCCCAGTCAGTTTTACAATTATTATTGCATAATAAATTATTTATTTGTATATTTAGGTCAGGGCTTTAAATTACTTATTTATTTATTTTATTTAAATCTTTATTTGCATAAAACATGGTAGTACAGATAAAGTTCCAACATTTGTAAATGAGGATTCATGTTTAATCAATACATCTATTAGTAAATATTTTGTCATTGTCATGCCACCCAATTATTACAAGTCATAATAATACAGAATGTCAGCATTTGAAAATAAAATAAGCAATGCTAGTCAATTTTAATACATACAGAACAATGTCAAAAATCATAACTACCAACAAGATCAAACTTATATCACTTATGGAGAAACAACAAGATACAACAAGAAATTATAACATTTAAAAAAATTACCTTAATTATATTATAAATTACATAAGTTAAGCATATTTAGTCCACCTAAAACAATGAGGCTAGTTTTTATTAGTGTTGCTAGAATCATTAGCCGGAAACATCATCAAATAACCTTCATTGGTACTATATTACATTAGTATGTCAAATTTTTATCAAACAATCAAATGTTAGCAAGGTCTTCTAAAATTGATTACAAATTCAGAAGTGGAGGAACATATGAAAAAAGCATATTCAATAAAATCTTGTAAAAATACCTGGTAGTAAAAGACCCCCTAGTGGATTATTCCGTAAATCACCAATTAATGCAGTAATTCTTTCTAAAGCGCCATCTTTTACCAAATAATTAATACCGTAGGGTTTTACAGACAATCTAGATAATAACTCCAGAATATTTAATTGATACAAAACATCATTTGACTTTAGTTCTTCTACCATGTGCTCTATATACCCATTGTCAACAGATAACTTAAATAATTCATATGATTTTAATGAAATGTTTATAACAACCTGAAACAAAAATGATGTAGTTAGAAGGTAAAACAAAAACACTGACACTAACCATTTCATTATCTTTTCACATTGTTAATGAATGAGAGCATCAACTTTGATAAAGATGTTAGATATTTAATAGGGTATTACACCCATTTTCAAAAAGTGTTTGAGATGAATCCTGGAGTGATAATGAATCACTATAATTTTTATATAATTTTTTTAAACCGAATAGTGCCATAGAAATTACTTTTAATGTATCGTTTTAAATTTTCATGTGAAAACAAAAAAAGTAAACAAAAAATCAATATTTCTCGTTTACTTTTTACAAAATCTATCATACGGACTTCCATTTGGCGCGATCCTGACACACTTCTCTCACCTCCTTTACATCCATATATTTACGCATACATGCTCGTCGGTTAAGGGTACTCCTAATCTGACCCATTTTCAATGTATCGCCGATTTGGTTGATAAATCGAAGTCCAATACTATTATAATAATTCGTGACTGTAATTATTAAAAGTTTACTAAAATGATGGAGTTTTTGATATATATAATATTATACTAAAGTA